ATGATGTAGTACCTACCATGGCACAGGGAGTGCTGGAGTACAAGGACACCTACGGCGATGACCCGGTCTCCAACCAGAACATCCAGTACTTCCTGGACCGCTTCTACCTCAGCCGCATCTCCATCCGCATGCTCATCAACCAGCACAGTGAGCTCTGGCTGCCTCGGAGAGGGCAAGGGGTCCTGGCAGGGCATGCCGGGAAGGGCCACCGCCCCTGACAGGAAAGCAGGGCTCCCCACGAGTTACTGGCTTAAGTCAGGTGTGGTAGCATATGCCTTTAATCTTAGCACCTGGGAGGCTGGGGCAGGAGGATCGTATGCTTGAGGCCAAGCTTAGCTACATAGTGAGACTTTGCCTTTAAAAAATGTAAATAAATAAATAAATAAATAAACCCGGCAGTGGTGGTGCACGTCTTTAATCTAGCACTTGGGAGGCAGAGGCTGGTGGATGTCTTGAGTTTGAGACCAGCCTGGTCTATATAGTAAGTTCCAAGACAGCTAGGGCTACACAAAAAAAACCCAATCTCAAAAAAAAAAAAAAAAGAAAAGAAAAAAGAAAAAGAAAAGAAAAAGGGCTGGAGAGATGGCTCAGCGGTTAAGAGCACTGGCTGTTCTTCCAGAGGTCCTGAGTTCAATTCCCAGCAACCACATGATGGTTCCCAGCCATCTGTAATGAGATCTGGTGCCCTCTTCTGGCCTGCAGATGTACATGCAGGCAGATCACTGTATACATAATAAATAATAAATCTTTAAAAAAAAACTATACATTTAATAAGGTGTGATGTGGGAGAAGCCTATAGAAGGACTGCTTAGGGGTATAGAGGCGTGGGAGGCCTGAGCTGGGGAAAGACCGGACTTGAGGGTCATGGTTAGCATGGAGTGTATAGAGGCTTACATATGAGGTGATGGGTACAACATTTGGGATATCGGAGGGCTAGGCCCTGTGAACTAACTAGCAGTGTCCTTTCCTGTCTCCACAGCCCTCATCTTTGATGGAAGTACCAACCCGGCTCACCCCAAACACATTGGCAGCATTGACCCCAATTGCAATGTGTCTGATGTGGTGAAAGGTGAGCCCCCCCACCTCCCGCACCATAGACCTGGCCCATAACAGAGCTCCAGGGACCCTTCCCATATAACCTGGACAGAGGGTGACCCATTCCCAGTGGGTAGGGGCATGTCCCCATGGGTTTCATGTTGGTGATGCCCAATGTCACAGTGCATTATGGGCCAGCCACCCATAACCTGAGTGGTTCCCTCTCTTCGCAGATGCCTACGACATGGCCAAGCTCCTATGTGATAAGTATTACATGGCTTCACCTGACCTAGAGATCCAGGAAATTAATGGTAAGCAAATGAGGTGGTGTGTGTGCGTACTTGTGTTTGTGTGTATGTGCACAAGCGCATGCATGTGTTTCAGAGCACTGGGGACAGGCAAGAGCAGGGGAGCTGGAGGGTCAGACTCCCCTAGAAGGGAGCTGTTGTGTATTATTAATTTGCTGGATAACTGCTTATCATTTGACACGTGCATCATGTAAAGAAGACAGGCAAGCTCTTGCCCTCGCAGAGCTGACATCCTTGGCACTGGGGAGGTCGAAACCTGTGGCAGTTTACTACTGAGCATGCAAATCCACCAGCTAATTTCAAAGCCTTGTAGGTGATAGGCTGATGTCTTCTTCCTTGTGCATGAACAAGGACTTTCTTTGTAAGTGAAGGACATGATGTGGGATCAGAGGACAAAGGCCAGGGAGAATGACGTGTGATGGGACACCTCCGCAGACCGCAGAGGCTTAATTAAGAGATGTTTCTGGGTGGCCAGTAACTACATTACTAGCTACGGCAACTTGGAAGGTGCACAGCCACCTGTTAGGCACAGCTGGGGGGGAGGTCTGGAAGGTGCACAGCCACCCAGCCATAGTTGTAGGGGGGTGTTCTGGAAGGTACACAGCCACCTGTTAGCTGCAGCTGTGGGGGTGTCTGGAAGGTGCACAGCCACCTGTTAGCTGCAGCTGTGGGGGTGTCTGGAAGGTGCACAGCCACCTGTTAGCTGCGGCTGTGGGGCGGGGGTGGGAGGTACACAGCCACCTGTCATCCACAGCTGTGGGGGGGTCTGGAAGGTACACAGCCACCTGTTAGCTGTGGCTGTGGGGTAGGGGTGGGAGGTCTGCTCTGAAGGAACAAGGGCTACAGAGTCACCCTGTCAATAAGATTGCGAACCCTGCTGTGCTTCTGTCCTTGGTCTTGATTCCCCGCAGCCACCAATGCCACCCAGCCCATTCACATGGTCTACGTCCCCTCCCACCTCTACCACATGCTCTTTGAGCTCTTCAAGGTAAGAAGGCTGCCCTTCTGAGGGGAGACTGGGAGGGCCAGCCCTAGGCCCTCAGCTTCAGCAGCGCTTCCCTTACCATGTCCTTCATTCCCTCCCCAGAATGCCATGCGGGCCACTGTGGAAAGCCACGAGTCCAGCCTCACTCTCCCCCCTATCAAGATTATGGTGGCCTTGGGTGAAGAAGATCTGTCCATCAAAGTATGGGACCCTCAACTTGGGAGGCCATGGGGATTAGGGTGAGGAGTGGAGACTGTAACCCTGGAGGGCATCTCACATGTTCCTTGTCTCCCAGATGAGTGACCGAGGTGGGGGTGTCCCCCTGAGGAAGATCGAGAGGCTTTTCAGCTACATGTACTCCACAGCCCCCACACCCCAGCCTGGCACTGGGGGTACCCCACTGGTGAGATGGCTTCCTCCTGCCCCCTTGGCTCCTGCTCTCCTAACTCCCAAGCATACTCCACTCCCACCCATGTCTGTGGTGACAGTCCTGAAGCCAGGCCTTCCATCTCTCTACTGCTTACCCCCTGCCTGCTGATCATCTATCTGCCCATCCGTCCATCTGTCTGTCCACTGAGCTGTCACTTCTCCCCAATGCTCTCTCTTCCCTCTTTCTTTCTGCATTGCTAATTGCTAGCACTTTTGTCCCAACTCCCGTGGAATAGGCAGCGTGGGCTTAGGGAAGGGGCTGGGGCCTCTGGGTCGAGCTCTCCTGTCCAGCTTCCCTCTCTACTTCCTCTGAAGTTCCCCTGCCTACCATCTACTTCCGTCTGCTCCAGAAATGTCCCTTCCTCACCCGTGCCCCAGCACCCCTGCCTGTCCCTAGCTGGGCATCCCTGGCTCACTTTATGACCTGTGACTTAACCTGCAGGCTGGTTTTGGGTATGGACTCCCCATTTCCCGTCTCTACGCCAAGTACTTCCAAGGGGACCTGCAGCTCTTCTCTATGGAGGGCTTTGGGACAGACGCCGTCATCTATCTCAAGGTGAGGCCCACTGGGGGCAAGTTTGCTGCTAGCAGGTTTTTACCCATCCCTCATCCTGGCTCCAGACTCTGAGCTGAGCCTTGGTCCTCAAGTGTTGTAACTTTAAACTAACATGGTAGGGAATGTCAGGGGTCCAGGGTCTGTGAGTAGGACCCCTCTTCTGGGGACTCAGGCTGGAAGAAAGAGGGGCTTACAGATCTTGGCCTTCCAAGGAGTGGGAATGTGCCTTGATGAAAGATAGAGACCCTTCTCTCCTGTTTACCTCCCTGTCCTTTGAGGAAACAGCTGTCTGGAATGGACCAGAGCAAAATGCAGAAAGTTCAGACCCTTTAGGGACGTTTCTAGGTCTGGGGTACCTGTCTCAGCTAGCGTCTGGTATGGGGCTGACTGAGACGTGGGTTAGGATGCCAGGGGCAGAGATCTTCAGGGCCCAGATGGGAAAGGGTAGCGTACTGAGGAGTGGAGAAGCAGGAGGCTGATGGTAGTGCTCCCTAGGCCCTGTCCACGGACTCAGTGGAGCGTCTGCCTGTCTACAACAAGTCTGCCTGGCGTCACTACCAGACCATTCAGGAGGCCGGTGACTGGTGTGTGCCGAGCACAGAGCCCAAGAACACATCGACGTATCGGGTCAGCTAGGGGCCTTCTCTCCCTGGCACCTGGGAGGATGCTGCCACCTCTGAATCCAGCCACCACAGGGACCTTCCCTATCCCCTGGGGTACAGAGGGTGAAGCCGGGTCTCCCTAATGGCCAGGTCTGTCTTTGTAGGAATCTCAGTGACCCATCTGTGGTGGTCCCTAAGTGCCAATCTGTCTCTATGGAGAAACCTAGGGTGTTTCCCTGGAGTCTGGTCTCCATGGTGATGCTTGAGGGTTGGGGATGGCTCTACCTGTTGGGTGCCCCAGAGACACTTCTCCATGGTAGTTCTCCCAAGACCGGATCTGTCAGTTTTCTATCAGAGACCCCAGGTCCCCCTCACTGCCTGCATAGTCCTGGCCTTCCGAGTGGCTGCTCCGCTTGCCTTATGCCCACGCTCCGGACAGGTATACTGGGATGTGTCCTGTGTCCCTGTTAAGAAGGATGGAGTGCCCTCAGGTCTGTAAAGAGGATGGAGGAAGGGGTGCACCCTTGACCTGGTCTTGCAGCCTCTCTCTGCCTCTACTCTGGACACCAAGGCTGCAGCTGGGAACTTGAGAGTGGGTGGTGGTTTTCACCCAAGGCCCACGTCTAAATTAGCGGCACCTGGGAAAGCCCAGAAGTAACCTGTCCCACCAGGATTCCAGGACGATCTTGGCAATATTTGTGCCACTTCCTAAACCCTTGCCCAGCATGTCCTCACATGCACTCCCCTGCCCAGTGTACACCCACCCTATCTTTCCTGCGCTTTAGACCACACCCCCCGTGCCCACCATGTGTGCACAATCGACCCATCCCTAAGATATCCTATGTACATAGCCAGTTTTGTAAAATCTCAGACGCCTCGCCCTTCCCCTCATCACACAGGGGTTAAAGCTGTGTGCCCCTCCCAGTGGCTGGGATGGTGACAGTGACATCCACAGTAAACAGATGAAATGACACTGTTGTCTGGCTGTCTTGCTGTGGGAGGGTGAGTCCACACACACACACGACCCAGCCTAGTACAGCACAGGGCAGAGTCATCAGCTGGCAGACGGCTGCCCAGTGGTGCTCCAGGCAGAGCTTAGTCCCTCGTCCCAGACAGAGAGCTCACTGGTGTATGGTAGGTATTTATTGAAAGAAGTTGAAAACCATCTTCCCCTTCACATGCAGGTGGGGCACACTTGGCTCCTGACAGCTTTAGGGACAGTAGGGCCTCCACCCTCCCCACCCAGTCTAGATAGATGCCAATGCCCTTATACCTTAGTTTCCCTCTGAGGCCCCTCTCCCAGTGCAGATAACTGAGCCCAACCACAGGGCCCTGGCCTTGAGCTGCTTCCCCAGGCAGGAGAGAGGGAGTTAGCATGCAGGTCCTGTCCACCCCTCCAGGAAGCTGGGAGGGGTGGAGGTTTCTCCTCAGAAACCTCCTGGGCCCAGCAGTAACTGACCAGCACCCGAGAGGCTGGGTCAGCATGGCACCTGGGACCCTCCATCTCTGAACGTGTCCTACAAAGGACACGTGCCAGACCAACCCAGGGCTGGCCCAGTCCTCCCTGTGGCCTAGCAAACCTGAGCTAGCAATGTTTGTCCGTTCTAGGCCCACTGAGGCCTTGACACACCCAGGGAACCTGGGAGCTGATGGACCCTTCTGATCTAGCAGCTTCCAGGCCGCCCTCCAATTGTGCCCCTGCCCGGCTAGGGTGATGAAGGTCACCAGTTCGGTGCCGCCTAGGCACTAGTGGGGAGAATGTCCTGTGTTCCCAACAGCCTCCATTTATCCTGTCCCCAGAGGAGGCTGAAATCACTCTGTGAAGAAGTGGATTCTAGTTCTGTGACCCAGTGGGAGAGGAGCAGTGTCGTCCCGCCCACTAGAACCTACAGGGTAGTGAAGGGGAAAGAGAAGAGCCCCCTTGTTCCCACTCTGCAGTCCTTACAGAGGCCAGCTTACCCTTCACTGCCCGCTCTTCTCTCCGTTGAGAAGGTGTCTGAGAATCTACCCTGAGTGCCACTACTGCAGTGCCCACCGGCCTCTCTGAGGAGAACTGCTCTCCCACCACACAGCCGCCTTCAAGAGCTGAGGAGACACAGCCCTGTCTCCCGTCGGGATGCCCAGGCTTCTCTCTAAGCCTAGGAGTCCCGGTCGTGGTAGGGCCTCTCCTGCCAGCTTACTTCCTGTTCGGTACTACTGTAACCAGAGGGAAGAGGTTCTGCCTGAACCGGGTTCCTCTGGGCTCCGGATTTGCTGCATTCCTGGCCTCTGCCCTCTTCATCTGCCACCTGCTTCCCCCTGGAACTCTGTGCCAAACAAGTCCTCGAAATTGGGTTTATTACTGGGCCTTCTCCCTGGGATCTCCCTCCAGAGGACTCGGTCCAAACAGGGTGAGAGGGGTCATGTGCCCCAAGAACCTGGTGCCTAGACCCGACTTCGCTGGTGAGGCCCGTGCAGGTGGCTGCAAGTGTGCCGGGGTTCCAGCCCCGCCAGCCATTCCTAGCTCTTCTTGGCCTCATGCTCACGGCGCCGCAGCTTCTCCCGCTGCCGTGCAGTCTTCTCCTGTGCCTTCCGTTCCTTCTCAGCAGCCGCTGCCAGCTCCTTCAACTTCCGCTTCACCAGTGCCCGGTCATGCGAGTTGCTAAGCCCCAGGCTCTGGGAAGAAACCCAGAGTGAAGGAAAGCGGCCCAGAACACTCCTCCCATGCACTCCCTGCAGCCCCTCAAGTCTGCTCCGAAGTATGGCCTTTGCCTAGGGATTAGCTAAGAGGAATGGGTTGCAAATGGCCATAGAGATTACAATGGCACTAAGCCATTTGTGCCCCATCCTTGATTCTGGATCCTCAACCTAGGTGCCATGACCCTACCCAATCTCCTGAGGTCCTCAAGATGGAGAATGGTTTGCTCAAGGGCCCACTGCTAGGCGGCAAGGTCTCTTCCCCACTCGCTATGGGATTGGTCTTGAAACCCAGGAATGTCCAAGCGCTGGAAACCACCTCTCTTCACTGTCGCCTTAGCACACTCCTGTCACCAGGCTCTGAGACTGAACACGGCATGGAGCCAACCAGGAAAGAGGCCTGGCTTTCCAACACTGGATGGTAGTCCAAAGGGTGAGGTCAGCCTGAACACTCGGGCTGGAACTAGAGGGTCAAGTGGAAGTGATGGATTTGAGTTTAAGTCAGACTGGGGCATCATAACTACACTGCAAAGACTGGACCAGACCCTGGCATAGAGGTCAGAAGCCAGGTCAGTGGCCAGACAGAGAGAGGCAATCCCAGGTCAGTTCAGGAGGCAAGTAGGCCAAAAGTCAGGGAGGGTCCTTAGGCTTTAAGGCTACCTCAATCTGGCTAACCTTGCACTCCAACCTACCTTCAGTTTGCTCCCATCCAGCTGCAGGAGCTGCGGCCCATCCACCTGTCGGGCAGCAAACTCGGCGGCGTACTGTTCCAGGTTGAGGCTGCACAGCCACTGGCCCACCTGCTGGCTAGTCCAGTGTTGTATAGTAGGGAGGGACTCGTCCAGGAACTGTGGTAGAGATGGGGAGGGTTAAGGGAGCCCGGTCTCTTGGCCAGGTCCCCAGCAGGAACAAGGCTAGCCCGGCTCACCTCATCTGAAGACTGGGACAGCGTGTGGTAGGGATAGGAGCACTTGGTCTCCTGTCGAGGACCACTGGGGATCTTGGGGCTGCTGCTGGGAGGTGTGGAGTCATCACTCAGGGTGGATTCCTGAACAGAGAGGGATGTGTGCTGAGGCGCAAGTTCACCCCCTGCCACTCCCGAGCCCATCACTCTGACCAGACGGAGCTGAAATACTGGACTAGCCACCAGCAGTTGGTCCATGCTCCTGATCGTGAGAACTAAGCAGCCAGACAGAGGCTGTGACCCGACGGAGACCTGAGCCCTCTAGTGGGGAGCTGGCTACCTAGAGGTCATGGCACTAGCGTTAAGTTGGGCAGAATAATTAACAGGAGTGGAGGAGGCTAGGTGCTGCTGCCTTCGGGCGGCCCTCCAGGATTCTCCCAAGGCTGTGTCATGTGTGCCTCTCCTAGGCCTCTGGCATCCTGACTGGCGGGTACCCTCATTGGCCTTGGGTCTCTGGGAGGACTTGGGCTGTGTTTCACTCAGTGTGTGTCCCCTGGGACCAGCACAAAGGGAGGGGCTGAGGAAGGATGTAGGGGTCGTTAAAGAACAAAGCTGCACATCAGAAGGGTCTCTCCCCTGGACCCCGCGATTGATGATTCTCCTAAGCCCTGGCACCACACACATCTGTGGGCAAGTCCCTTTTCTCCAGACCTCATCTGTCCATCTGTACAGTGCAGATACTAACGCCTGCCTTGCCTGCATCACAGTTAAAGGCACACATGTATCCTGGGCTCTGTGAAGTATTTAGCAGTCTGGGAATGTAAGGGGACTTTAGTATTGCTGGTGTCGATGGTTCTCATTTCCTGGGGTCTGAAGCTTTCGGAGCACTAGGCATGGGTCCTGCCCATCTCTCTAGCTCCAGAACTTCCCTCCATGCAGGAGGCCAGCTCTTGATGGTGGAGTCCAGACCTGACTCAGGCAGAACAGTAAGAAACAAGGGGCCCTGGGATGGAGTGAGCAGTGGGGGCTCAGTGTTCCCACAGGTGCGCTGAGAGCCAGGAAAGCAGTGTGGACGGGTATGAATGCCTGAGCCAATGAATGAACGAAACCAAGAGAGAAGATGGAAGTCGTGAATGAGTAGGTGGCTCTGTGGAGCAACGCGAAGGTCCCAAAAAAAACCTCTGTCCCACTCCAAGCCCTGATGAAATATGCCCTTGTTATGACCCTGGAAGCCAGTGTGGAGTCCTGGGGTTACACACTGGCGGGATGGCATACTCATGTAGCCCCAGGCAGACTGGGCTACAGAGTAAAACTGACTCGGGGCAAAAAGATAGATAGAAAGGAAGGCTGGACGCTAAGAGGGAAGGAGAAGAAGAAGGAATAAAGACCTGGGCTTACCTGGGAAGCTGACTTCTTGGGGCTGAAGCCCTCATGTTTGGGGGAACAGGTCGGGGAGGTGGTGCTTCCTGAGGAAGCAGAGCCTTTGCCGCTGTCTGTGAACCAGGAAAAGGGCAGGAACGGGGAGCTCCCTGTCCTTCCAGAACCTTCTACGGACTCCCTGTGGAGAAAACATCCAGCATGGTGTGGTGTCCAGGGGAGGACTGGAGCTGTGGGTGGGTGCCATGGGTACCTCTCACCTGCTGCCCATGGACAGGCGGTTGCTACCTTTCTCCTTCCGGCTCTTGCCAGTGGACGCTCGGCGGAGAGTGACCCTGTAAGGAGGCAGGGGGAATGGAGCATACCTGCCCACTGTGATGCTCAGACCCCAGTTGTTCCAAGGACCCATGCAAGACCTGCCCCCACTCACCCCAGGTCCAGGAATTTTCTGCGAGTCCTCTTATCCAAGCCGATGGTGGGGCTGGCAGGCTCAGGGGGGCTGGTATCCCGGCTGTCATCTTTAGGAGGAGAGGAAGAAGAAAACAGCTAAAGCAACGGTTTGCTTGCCTCCTGCTGCTGCCCATGTGGGGTGGTAGACATGTCTTGACTTAGAATTAGGCCATCTGGCTCCGGGGTTCTTCATTAGCTGTGTGACCCAGGAGACGGCACTCTCTGTTTTTGAATTCCCCTTCATTGCAAACATAGAGACATGGCCATTTTACAGTATCTAATGGGAGCCTAGGCGTTTACCTTTTACAAACTGTAAAAACACTTTACAACTGAGGGGGGGGGTAGGCCTTTTAATGTTTGTTAGTTTATTGGTTCGTTTATTTTTGAGACAGAGTCTCAATGAAACTCAGGTTGGCCTGGAACACTGTGGCCTTGGTCTCCTGATTCTCCTGTTTTCACTTCCTGGGTACTGGAACTACCAGGGCACATCACAGTATCTTGTATGCCATGACTAAGGCTTCCTGTGAGCGAGGCACATACTACTGACTTTATCTTGGTCATCTTCTACCCATCCTTTCAATCTTGGCTCAAATGTCACCTCCACTCCAGCAACTGTACGTGTTTCCTGCATAGCTTTTATTACAGTTTGTATTTATATGTTAATTACAGGATGATTTGGTTGTTTCTTTCCTAAGCTACACATCCCCAAAGGCCAAGGACCGTATCGTTGCTCTGTTTGGTCCCAGCGATGTCTGTCGTATAGTGAGCCTCTGTAAATGAAGAATGGAACCTGTTGGCCATCCTTCCACCTGCCCTGTAGCCACCATACCACCGGGCCAAGCTGCGGTTCTCATGCTCGCCGGCAGGGGGCATCGCGCCTGCCGGGCTCACCTTCACTGTGCGGTTCTGCTCGGGCGTAGCGGCGCACGAAGCTGGGGGAGCTGTCCGAGGAGGGTGCGGAGCGCGGAGGCGAGCCAGAGGTGGCGGCCAGGCCCTCATGCGAGGCAGCGTTGTGCAGGGGCCGGTAACGGGCGAGGGGTGAGGGCGGTGGCTCGTCCTCATCCAGGCTGCGCCGCAAGCCGGGGGGCTCCAGGCAGAAAGAGCCGCTGGCGGGGGAGCCTGGGCCCGAGTGCAGAGGCGAGCGCAGCCGGTGCAGCGGGCTACCGCAGCCGTCGGTCACCTGGAAGAAGGGCAGCCGCTCAACCAGCGTTCCCTGCCCTCACTCCCTGGAGGCTGGAGGCCAATTTCCTCTGTAGGCTAAACGTGGAGCCCCAGGGGAGCTCGGTTTTCTGGGGCCTGGAGGGTGGGTTCCTTCGGCCTGGGTATGGGGAGTGCCTGAGCAGTGACGGGAGAAATGGGTGATCATTTGAAGTGAAGACATCCTGCTTCATTTGCTAACTGTGGGACTTCCCAAACCTTCTGCTCTCTGCTTCTTCATCTTTAAAAAGGGCTAACATCTTTTCTGCATAGGGACAGGAGCCAGAAGTGAACAGCTAGCTGACCTTTGGGTGGGCGACTTTCGGGTCTCTTGGGGCACACTCCCCTGGAATTGGGGGGCGGGTGTGTGTGTGTTACCCCAACCTTGCCTCCGGGCCCATCGGAGCCTTCCCCGTCCTCAGCAGAGCTGGCACTGTCTCGTAGTCTGGAGCGGGAAGGCCTGTGTCTCCGGCCCTTGGCCAGCAGCTGGGCCCGGGCTTTGTGTAAGCTGCTGTCCAGTCTGGTGGTCTCTGGTACAGCCAAGTCCAGGTCTGCAAACAGAGACCAGAGCCACTTCAGATGACCACCCTGACTCACACCCCAGCCATTAAGCTGATGCTTGGTGGTGCCACTCACTTCAACAGTGGTGAAGTTCAAGCCTCCCACAGGCTGGCTTCCCAGCCCCACCTGCCAGTGCCTGCACATAGCACAACTGCCTGGCCCTCCTGGGGGCACGACTGGCCTCTGTGCAGACACACAACGGGGGTGAGAGGAGGCACACCCACCTGGATCCTACAGGCTGAGTGAGAGTTGGCAAGCGGGTGGGAAGTAGGGAGTAGAGATGGCACCTTTAGTTCTGTGGGGACCAGGTGAATGCATCTGCTATGCACGCATCGCATCATTGTCCTCAGAGCTACCTGGAGAGGGGAGGCTACGGCATCCAGGACACATTTACAGCTGAACCAACTAGGCTCAAAGAAAGCAAGTCACATCTGGAGCCACTGGCTAGTTACAGTCTGAGGTTTGGGTGTGGCTCCAGAAACGGACCCTCCTGGGGACACCATCTTGCTGTGCCACATTCAGGGCCGTGTTCAAGGATAGCAGTGTTAATGCGTGTGAAAAGTCCTTGGTTGAAGTGCGGAAGGGGACACCCAGACACCAGTGTCAGTACCCTGAGCAAAGTTCCCACGGGTCCTTCAAGCTTGTCTCGGGTCCTGGGCTCTACAGCCCAGTGCTAGGTCCTGTTAGAACCTGGATGTGGAGGCGTAGACACATCTACTGGGTGTGTGCAGAAAGCACCAGGTCACAGTTTCGCTTTTTGTTCGCCTGCCTGGAAAGGAAGGACCACTCTTGTTCTGGCCTTGACCTTGGTTCTGGGGTCTTCCTGGGCTTCAGGATGAATCAATACGCTCCTGTTCGCCCCTCTCTTAGTATCTCTGCCCCCCCCCCCGTTCCATCCTTCACACCCACTCTTCTTGCCTGCTTCTCTCTCATCTGTAGACACCCCAAAGGTGCCCCTACTCAATGGCCACTTTGTCTATTCCCAACTCTGACTCTTCTACTAAATACCAAGCCTAAACACAGAAGCACCTACCAGGGAACCTACAAACCAGGGCCCCCTAGTGCCTTAGCCAAACACAACCGATAAAAGCACACCCATCGGAGTCCTTTTGCCTTTAATCCCAGCACTCATGAGGCAGAGGTAAAGGATCTCTGAGCTCAAGTCCAGTCTGGTCTACAGAGCGAATTCCAGGACAGCCAGGGCTACACAGAGAAACTCTGTCTAACACACACACACACACACACACACACACACACACACACACACACACCACTCATTGGCTTGCCTGAGATTTGTTGCCTCCAAGTTGGACAGCTGTGAGTTACCCTTTCCCTTCAGCCCTCCTAGACCTTGTGCCCGCATGGATAGTCAGCAGGCTTCCATTCATAGCCTTTCCTCTCCCCACCACCTCCACCATGGCTGGCCTCCCTATCTTGGTAAATGATGGTTCCATCTTTATTGCTACTCAAGCTAAACCCTGTGTCTTTTTTGACTCCCCTTGCCTCCCTCTTGACCCCTTTCCTATAAATTAATTTAGCTTCATTCCTGTTAGCCCCACCCTCAAAATAGCTAGTCCTATTGAAATACAGAGGTGAAGCATGAGACTGTTTTTAATGATATTCAGGGCAGTGGGGATGAAGAATGGGAGGGGTGAAGCAAGTCTGAAGGGGGTTGCCGTGGTGGAGATGGAGTGACCAGAACTTGAGCACATGACAGGGTGCATTGTCCTCTTTTCTCTACCTCTCAGGTTGTCTGAGGTTTTCATTTCTTTTTTTACTATTAACACACCCTCTCTCTGTGTCTCTGTCTCTTTTTTTGTGTGTGTGGGGGTGCATATGCATTTGAATACAGATACCCTCAGAGTTCAGAAGAGGGTGCTGTATTCCCTGTAACTGGAGTTACAGGCTATTGTGAGGTGCCTGACCCTGGGTGCCCAGAACTGAACTCGGGTCCTCTACAAGAGCAGTGCCTACTCTAAACCACCCACTCTACAGCCCAAGCTCTTAGATTTTGTCAACAAAATATTGTTTATGAGTGAGTTTACACATGTATACCTGTGTACATACAGAGAGGAGTGGGAAAGAGATGGGGGAGGGACGGAGAGAGGAGCACCAGGTCTAGGTTCCCATCTTCTCATGCCTGTTATTATAAATGGCCTCCTGTGCTCCTTTCCCACTGGGTGTCCTCCAGCACAGCAGCCAGAGTGATCCTAACGCGAGGTGTCAGCTCCGTCACTCCCTGCTCAGAACCGCCTCGTGCAGAGCTAAACCCACAGCGCCCTTCTAGATTCAGTCTGTGCTCCTGAGCTTCAGTCACCTCCCTGAGCTTCTGCCTCTCCCTTGTCCCCTCCTCCCACCCTTCCTCTTACAGACCCAGCCTGCACCTCAAAGCCTTTGCATGTATGGCGCCCTCCCGTATATACTCCAAGTTGTCAGTCCTGCCTTTTCCTGGATCACACACCACTCTCTGGCATCCTAAACACCTTGCTTATTGAAGCCTATGCCTCTTTCCATCTATTAGACTATCAGCTCCAAAAGGACAGGGTTTTCTGGGATGGTACCACGGGCACCTGGCAGCTCCTGGTGCACAGCAGGTGCCTGGTGAATACTCTAACGAAGGGAAAAGGACAGGTAAGGAGCTATCCTGAATGGACAAGGAAGTAAGAGTGACTAGGGCTACTGCCTCAGACTTATTTGGTTGCCAGGCTGAGGCCCGGATGACCATAAGGAGAGTTGGGGTTTTTCAAGACAGGGTTTCTCTGAGTAGACCTGACTGTTCTGGAACTTGCTCTGTCGACCAAGCTGACTCAGAGATCCCCCTGCCTCTGCCTTGTGAGTGCTGGGATTAAAGGTGTGTGCCGCCACCACCACTGCCGGCCAGAATGAGGTTTTCTTAGGAAAGGGAATGGTGTTGTTCTGGGTTTGAGGTGTCAAGGAACATTCACAAACAGCCTGAATGAAGATGGAAGTAGACGTTTGTCCAGGGATGTGGTGAGGGGCTGGGAGGTGACAGCTACTGTCAAGGCTGCTCTCTTGGATCCAGAGGTGACTCACTTCATTCCTCCTGAAGAACATCTTGAGCCGGGCGGTGGTGGCGCACGCCTTTAATCCCAGCACTCGGGAGGCAGAGACAGGCGGATCTTTGGGAGTTCGAGGCCAGCCTGGTCTACAAGAGCTAGTTCCGGGATGGTCACCAAAGCTACAGAGAAACCCTGTCTCGAAAAAAAAAACCAAAAAAAAAAAAAAAAAAAAAATCTTGGTGTCCCTGGAATTAGCCAGGAGCCAGTAACAGTTCTCACTGCTCGAAGTGTGTGTCACTGAAACGTCCTACAACCTTGGAGGAAGGGACTCAGGATCCCTAGGGCAGCTTTAATTTGCCCAAGAGCATAGAGCTGGCAAGAGCTAGCTAGGGTCAAAGACAGGCAGGCTGGCTTGTTAGGAAGTACCAGACTATCAGCTGTGCCCTTTCTGAACAGAGAAGGAGGCAACCTTATGTCTAAACCCTCATTTTATGGGTGGAGAAATTGAACTCCAACAAGAAAGGTTTGGTCAGTTGTATGGAAGGAGTAAAAGTGATAGCCAGGTCTCCTGGCCCCTGGGCCAGTGCTCTAACCTTCTCTCCATTACTGGTACCCAGCTGGTACCCAGCCATCTGCATCAGGGCGATAGATCCATGCTCCACATGGCAGAATGAGCATCAGCTGGGCTGAAGAGCAAAGGGTCTCCTGAGGGCTTGCGGGTACAAAGCAAGGTGGGGCCAGTCTCACCAGGGTCCCTCAAACTCTCCTTCCATCTCTTCCCTTCCCTGCCTCCTCCTCTGGGCTCTGGGTAGTGAGAGAGATGAATATTTAATTGTTTTCATATGAGGAAGCACTCCAGGCAGTGCCCAGCTACCTCAGCAGACAGGAGAAAAACAAGAAAGGATTGGTGAGGAGCATGGTGGGAAGACAGGAGACAGAAAAGCCCTTCCCCCACTAAGGGGAGCTCACCTCTATGGACCTGCCAAGGTTAGGCTGGAACTTGTGTAGAGCCAGCCTCAGAGATAGGGAAATGCTGGGGGAGAGGGGGAGCTGGGAAGGAGCTGGGGTGGGGAGCAGTGTTCCCAGAAGCATCTAGATAACAATACTGGCGTGACCAGCGCCAGCGGCCATAGCAAGAAAGAAGAGAGGAGGGAAAGGCAGAAGAGATGGGAGGAAGCAGAAGCTGGAGCCCTGTGGCATCCCATGTTTAGGAGCCCCTTGGGGTTGCACACAGGAGTCACCCACTCAAATTCTGCAGGGGACAGCTTTTCCACAACACAGTCACAGAGTCTGCCGTATGCATAGAAGCCAGAGGTTGATGGGCCTCAATCCCTCTCCACCTGAGTTTTTGAGACAGGGTCTCTCGCTGAACCTAGAACTAGCTCATTTGGTTAGAATGGCTGGCCAGCAAGCCCCAAGAATCCTGTCTTCCCGTCCACAGCACTAAGATTACAGGTGTGCACGGCTGTGTCGGTTTCGTTGTATTTGAGACAGGCTCTCTGTATGCAGCCCTGGCTGTCCTGGAACTCTCTGTGTAGACCAGGATGGCCTCAGACTCAGAGATTTACGTGTCTCTGGTTCCCAAGTACAGGGATTAAAGGCGTGTGCCACTATGCCCAGCTTGTGCCCGGTTTTTATGTGAGTGTTTAGGATTGAACTCAATTCTTCATGTTATCTTTTTTTTAAAAAATTATTATTATAGTGTGTGTGTATGTGTGTGTGTGTGCTTGATGTGTGTATGTGAGTGTGTATGTCACCGTGCACACACAGAGGGCAGAGGATAACTTTTGTGGACCTGATTCTCTCCTTTATCCTTTATGTGGTTTAGGGGAACCAAACCCAGGTTGCACAGCTAGCGCCTTTATCTGCTGAGCCTTCCGCCTCCATGTGATCTTCAAAGCGGGTCTTATCGGCACTCTGCATCCTACACCCCTTGTCTTTGAGAATCAAATGATACACTGCATGTGAGACCAGCTGCACACCATGCCCTGAAGTGCCCTATCTGTCCTTATCCCATGCCATGCCTAGTAGACTTGACGGAAGGGCTCCATGGCTAGGTCTAGTGCTCGACATGAAGTCACAGAGAACTTACCAAAAACTTCATCCACAGGTTCTCGGAGCTTTGAGGAAGCCATGACTCAAGAGAGCTGAGAAGAACAAAAAGGAGAGAAAGAAACCATGGATAAGAGATTCAAGTTGGTTGTGGCAGTGAAGAAGCCAGCAGCCTCCCGTTTCCGGCCCACCCACTGCGTCCCCTAGAATTCTTCCTTTGGTCCTGGGAAGAGAAGCCTGTGCTGAGCAAGGCAGGAGATGCAAGCAGGAAAGCCATAGCACAGACTCAAGCAGCTCCTGTGAGCTGGGCCTAACTACTGGTTGTGACTTCACATTGCCTTAGGTACTCCAATGCACAAGGCCCTGCATTGCTTTGGGCCCTCCAATCACTAGCATCCGGAAGCCTCCATCATCAACTGCCGAACATCAAATCTAGAGGTCATGGGGCTTATTAAATCCAGACCTGTCATTTTACACAGACACAGAAGAGGAAGTGGCTGGCCCAGCAATTAACGGCAAGTACAGATTTAAAACCCAGGTTCTTCCATCCATTTGCCTACCTAGCTTTATCTGCTTTCCCTTCCTCCATCTCTCCCTCTCTCCCTCCCTCCCTCCCTCCCTCCTTCCCTACCCCATCCATCCAATATCCATTATATTTATGCATCTACCCATCTTGCATCCATTACCCCGTCTGTCTTCCTCCTCCATCACTGGGGCCCCTCACCTCCCTCCCTCCCTCCCTCCTTCCCTACCCCATCCATCCAATATCCATTATATTTATGCATCTACCCATCTTGCATCCATTACCCCGTCTGTCTTCCTCCTCCATCACTGGGGCCCCTCACCACCTGCTTTTCTGAACTGTGCGGGAAGCTGGCAGCACCAGCTGGGCCATTCACTGTTTCAGACAGAATCCCAGTTCTCACGGGTCCTGACAGACTCACAGATGCAGCAGGGCATTAAGTGTTCACAGCAGTACATCTCTGAAGCATCCAGAAAGTTCTGGGAGGAAGTGTGCATAGGCAGGACAGGGTTGTACTGTTGTTTGGGTTTCTTGTTTTGTTTTGTTTTGTCTTGTTTTTGTTGTGAGAAGCAAGAAGAGCAGGCAGGTAAGGAAGGGAAGCAGGAGAAATATATCAGAAACACCTTGGGCAGGCTTCCTAGCAGGTCTAGGGAACATGGATAAGAAGAGAGGGAAGGGGCTGGAGAGATGGCTTAGCAGTTAAGAGCACTGGATGCTCTTCGAGAGGCCCTGAGTTCAATTCCCAGCAACCATATGGTGGCTCACAACCATCTAGAGTGAGGCCTGATGCCCTCTTCTGGTAGAAAGGTGTACATGCAGGTAGAGCACCTGCATACATACAGAGAGAAAGAGACAGAGAGAGAGAGAGAGAGAGAGAGAGAGAGAGAGAGAGAGAGAGAGAGAGAGAGAGAGAGAAAGATTGGGGGGGGACTTAGAATACTCTGGTCTCTGGGAGAAAGGCAGGTCACTGGACTGGACCACGTGTCCTCTAGTTCTCCTGTCACTTCACAGACATTCCGTCTCTGTGAACTACTGAGCCTGACGTGTCATCTTGGTATCCCCACTTTACAGGTATGAACGTTAATAGCTAGAAGCAGACGTTGACCCAGTCCTCGGCTTCACAGCCCTGTCCTAGTGGCGTGATCTGCAGTTCTGCTCCTGAGGAAAGGACACTCTCGGGGGAGGGCTAGGGCAGAGGGAGGGGAGTTGGTCTATACTGGCTAGGATTAAGGCAAATACTAAAACCACCTCCATCCACTAGGCTCAGGGATGCTGGGAGCTGAGTCAAGCATGCCATATGGAAGGGAGGTCAGCAATGGCTCAGCTAGGACCCCTTTGCCGTTCTTGAACTCAGGGGACTAGGAGCCGAGATCTAGAATATTCCTTCCTGGCTAGAAAGGCCAGATGGAAAGATAGGTTGGCCCTCATCATGAACTGTATCTCTTCTTTGGATCGCAAAACCTTCTCTGACTAGGATTCAGCTGTCCCTTCTCCAGATTGCTGTCCGGGGTTACTCCCCGCTTCCCCCTTCATTTGTCTACACTGTTTTGCCAGCCACTTCTCCGGTTCCTGAGGAATGGAGACCTTTTCATACTTTACTGGTTTCCTACTTGGGTCTTATCTCTTCTTGTCAGATGAGCCCTGTGTTCTCCCTTCAGACTGGAGTCTCAGGGTAGGAGCTGCTTCTCCCACCGGAATGGCTGCTCTTTGCAGAGACCAATGATGCTTCCCCTCTTAAACACAGCCCATGTCCTTTATTGAAGGCCTCAGTCCAGCCACCAGGCGAGGTCCTCATGTGCACCGAGGTCTGTTTTAGTACCTTTGGGTGGACTGGGGCCTCCAGCTCAGACTTTCAGCCCATCCTGATTCAGCACAAACTGCTCCCCTTCCTTTATCTCTCTCTTGAACAGCCAGCTCCCGTATCTGGAGGGGGGGGGGGAGCTTTCCACACTATCCCATGCGAAACTCCACAGAAGCATAATATCCGGCGGGTCACCTGCCCCCGCTACCCAGCTATCTTCTCCCAGAAACCCAGCCTCACCCACTCTCCTCCTCATACACGCACTGTCTCACTCACAGGTGTTGTTCAACTATACCAGGGTGGAAATGAACCTGTCCCCTTCGACAGCCTTTGGGCTCCCTTGTCATCAGACCACTCCCTTCCCCAACAGCTGCCAATTCCTAATGGGCCACTGGTGACCTCTGACCTTTCTCTGGGAAAAGGAAAGGCAGGTGATTTCCAAGATACCCTGAGCCCAAGGGAAGGAGAAAGCAAAACAAAAGGTATACAACCTGGGAATGGAACAGAAGGAGCAACCAGCAGACCCAGAGGTAGAGACTGACAGTGTCCACAGGGAGCTGAGAAGAAAGAGCAAGACAGAATAGACCCAAGAGGCTCAGGAAAAGCTGCTGGGCAGCCTTGAGGGCCCACAATGGGGTGGGAGAAGAACAGAGCACCTGCCCACAAGGCAGAGGGGAGAAGGGGGCCCAAGTAGAAGAGGGGGGGGTGAGAGAGAAAGGGAGACAGTGGGAGAGAGGCTGCTGACAGGTCGCAGGAGTGCTTGACAGCAGGCTGGCATGGGGAGGCAGTTGTAGAGCCAAGAAGGCCGTGCCCCTCCCATGCCACCAGTCTTAAGCCAGCTCCAGGCTTGGAGAAGTCCGCAGGAGTTTGACAGCCCATCAGAGCCCCACAGAAGATGGGGTTGGGGAACGACACCCACTCCTATCAGAGTCCCCTCTCCCTAATCAGAGGGCAGAGCTGTTTCTCCAACCCACCGGTCCAACTGCCCGGGTAGGAAGGAGTTAAGGCCTCTCCCCCAGCCCCCACACCAGTTTTTCTTTTTCTCTTCTTTCTTTTCTTTTCTTTTTTTTTAAATTAATTTCCCCAGGCAGGAGGAAGAGGATTAGGGACACAAATCCTATTTCTGTTCCCTCCCTACAAGCCCAGCTCCCCGGTCCAGTGAGGTCTCCTTAGGGATAGAGGAAGAAAGGCCCTTGTGGCTTAGATTTATCTAGCCCCACTGGGGGGGGGTCTCACCTTGAGTCCGGTAGTCTCTGGCCCCGCTTCCCCTTCCACCCTAGGAATCCCGGCCCCTCACCTCCAGCATCCGTCATTTTCAGCGTCCAGCGCCCCGGGAACCCCTCAGGCCCATGGTTCTCGAGGCGAGTGCCGGGTGTGAGAGGGGTGGAGGACTTTCACCCCGGCCGCGGGGGGCTTCGGGCTGGCTCGAGTCGCTCCATCCCAGAGTGTTGTGGGGGAATCGGAGGGGAGGGTCCAGCAGGAAAGAATGGAGAGGCGAGGTGTGTAAGGATGCAGGGAGAAGGTCTGCGGGAAGCAGGAGACGCGGGCGGGGCTGGACCGGGAAACCTGACGGGAGGATGTTCCGTGTGTGCGTGCGTGTACGTGTGTGTGTGTGTGTGTGTGTGTGTGTGAGAGAGAGAGAGAGAGAGAGAGAGAGAGAGAGAGAGAGAGAGAGAGAGAGAGAGAGAGAGAGAGAGAGAGGAGAGAGAGCGAGCGCCCGAGAACCAGAGCCACCTCCCGCCCCGCCCCCGCCAAGCCCCGCGGATCTTGGACCCTCGTGCCACAGGCCGATTTGTGCAGCGTCGCAATGGCTAGGTCCGTGGGGGTCGCCTGGAATAATGCAACGCGGGGGGCGCTTGTGGGGATGCCGGTCACCCCGGAGACAAAGAGCGGGAGGGAGGGAGGAGGCGGGCGGGCGGGCGGGCGGGCGGAGACCGCAAAAACCGAGGGGAGGAGGCAGCGGGTGCCCGCGGCGGGGGCCCGGGATCCCAATTGCGCGGCTACTTCTCGGACCGCCAGCGTCGTGGTGCTAGGGAGTCTGCGCGCTAGGAGCCGGCGAGCGGCAGGCAAGCGACCAGGGGGGCGGTCCCGTTTGGGGACGCACGGGGCTTTCCGCCCCTTCTGCAGGGTCTGTGAGGGCTTCTAATTCTCTGGTTCTTCTATTCAACAAACATCTGCTGAGCAACCAGCCCGGGCGCTGAAGCTGGGGCGTACCTGTGCTGTCAGGGTTCGGCCAAGTGGGACTTCCCAAGACTGAGAGCTGTGGGTCCCGGAACGAAAAAGACCCTTCAAGTTCTGGAGGGGGCGTGCACCCGAGGCACTGGAGTAGGGCACAGTGAGGATTCCTAGAGGTGTGTGGCTACGGCAGGCCAGGCTACAGGAGACTTACTCATGAGCATTGCCTGATGGATGGACCAAAGGGGAAATGAGCTGAGGCTGGAAGGTTGATTCATTCTGCTACCCCGCATTCCTCCCCCCCCCCCAAAAAAAAAGGTTAACCGAGGAGGGAGAAGCTTCAACATGCATTTTAGGAAAATTCGTTGGGCACCCCAGTGGAGAACAGACTGCAGGGGGACACCGGAAGTCTGGCACCGGCCTCAAGGGATTGTTGAAAGATGACGGCAGTGGGTATGAAGATTAAAGATCAAGCTGAGAGCAATTCTGACTATAGAATTGAAGGCATAGGCAGGATCTGGAGCCGGCCGGACAAAGAATTGAAAGAAGGAGGGGTCTAGGATGGCTGTGGATCTTGTCTGGGGCCCTGGCAGCTCTGGAGCTAAGGGGTAGGGTTGGGTGGATGAGCTCAGACTTGGACCTGGTGAGTCCGGAGATGGTGGCAGCTCAAATGTGGTGGCGGCGGCGCTGGATGCCATCACCAGTTAGCTACCCCGCAGCAAGACTTAGGGCGTATTTGGTACCAGGCAACAAGTACCAGGTTCCTCTAAGATACACAGATTCAAAAAGAAAATGGTTTGTTCAGGGGCAGATAATGACCTTGGAGAAGGTCTAGGCACTTAGTGAAATTTATAGGGTCTGGAGAGAATTCCTGGTGGCTCATGGGAATGGGAGACTGCCAAGGGCCTGAGGGCAGCAGCATGTTGAATCAAGAGGTCCGTAGAACGGAGTGGGGATGGTATCAATGGGGTTCAGAGCATCCCAGAGCTCGAGGACCTCTGGGTATCTTCAAAATCTGCTGAAGTCTGGTTAGACCGTAGGTTCACGTGGAGGACATGATGGTCTCTGGTGACCACCTATGTAGGCAGGCTCTAGGGCAGTGGTTCTCAGACCAATGCTTCAACCCTTTAATACAGTCCCTGATGTTGTAGGGATCCCCAACCATATTGTTTTCAGTGCTACTTCAGAACTATTTTTGTTACTATTATGAATTGTAACTAAATGTAAATAGCTGTGGTTTTGATGGTCTTAGGTGACCCCTGTGAAAGGGTTGTTTGAAGCCCCCAATAGGGTTGAGAACTGCTGCTCTAGGGTCTTTGTAGGAGGTGTGTGTTTCAGTGCTGGAATGGGCCTTTTCCTATTCCTGCCTAAGGTGCTGGGATCTGGGGTGGGGGGACCCGTTTAATATCCCTCCTCTGCAGCAAGTGTCAGGGTTGTGACACAGCTGCTCTAGTTCTTACAACTCAGTAGATGATGGTAACAGATGTGATGTTTGAGATGACAAACATCACAGTCTGCCTGCACCACCTGACAGCCCCCCAAATGGACTTGTTCATGGGTAAGTCACAGCTCAGGCCTGCCTGAGAAAACTCCCAGAAAAGCCATACACAAGGTCCCCAGGCTTACAACACACTCCTACATAAACATCAAGTGCTACTCAACCACTCCTTGGAACATCTAGGAGGGGGCCCCTCCTCACATAGCATCCAGGGTGGGTACGGGATACAGGCCTTCCACGTTAGACACTTGGACTGTCAGACTAGAAGCTCTTACCTCAAGTCCATTTGTCTTCCCCACCCAGGAAGCTCCAACCACTTTTCTTGGCAAGGTTTCCCTAACAGGGACTTCTAACCTAGGCATGATGACCTGAGACCTCCTTTAGGGAATCTGTCATGGAATTCAGGCCCTCCAGGATGTACCTGCAGCATTCCCAGGGTCCCCAATGTGCCAAGGATGATGTGAGGAGAGGAAATGCCCTGCGAGGCCACCACCATTGCCAGTTTTCTGACTGTAAGGTAGGTGTCAGAGATGGACAGGACTTGTATGGCCCTGAGGTTGCAGAACCAGTTTTGAGGGTAGTCAACAGGAAGCCACTACGTGGCTCTACACGAACAAGTTCTGTGACAGAATTACCCGCTAGGAAATGGCTGCCTCGGGCTGTTCGTGGAGTTCTTCTAGATACCACTCATCTCTGGTGTTGTCAGGGGCGAAGCAAAGTGACCCAAGTGCCTGGAGATTGGGACTTTTGTTTCTTATTGGAAGAAGCGAAGATGAGAGTCCCCCAGGGTTCAAGTTACTAAAGCACAAGATCTGCCTCCCAGCTCCTGTGCAAGAAAAGTGTGCTGTCTACTGTGGGGCTAGGTGCATTCGCTTCTGGACGCACCCAAACTTCTTCCTGGAACTGGGAGCTAGGTAATAGGGCAGCTAGGACTACAGGAGACCTCTCAAGCCAGCCCAGGCCAAAGAACCTTCTCTTTGACCTTCGGGCAACAATGCTCTGAAAGTTATCTTCTAGGTCACCCAAGAGCTCTTTGGTCCACCTGGTACTTCATAGGAGACCTCTGGGGTCTTACAGACTGTTTAGTTCTCAGTAGGGAGTTCCTTTTCAGTCTATCCTCTCTCTGGCTTGCTCTAAAAACCTTGTGAAAGGAAGACCTGAAAAACCTGTCTAGAGACCCTACGAAACCTGGGCAATGGTGGCAAGTAAGTTTGCTAAGACTGGGGTTGGAGATCTGAACCGGCATTGAGATCCTCTCTAGGTCCTGGGCAAAACTAGAAAAAAGAGGGGACCTTCTGATATCCCTCCCCTTTCCCCCTCCAGCGCATCAAAAAACCAGGCAGCAAGGCTCTGGGGGCTGCTTTTATGGGGACGACCTGACAGAGGGCATGGTCCGTACAAAACCAGGAACAATACATACATATATATATATTATATACAGAGACGGGGTCCTCCAAGGGCGGGGCAAGAGCGCTGCCGGTCAAAACCGGAAGTACATCGAGAACTCGCCCACCCGGCTCCGCCCCCTCCATCATCTGCCTGGGTGAAGTGCAGGGGCCGGGCACTGTGACAGCCAGCTCTTTCTGGGGAGGGGGGAACGTCTGGGGGCGGAAGAGAGGCAAGAAATACTGATTGATGGTATGGTCTATTTACAGGGGTCTAGAAGAAGCCAAAAAGGATAGAACCGGATTGTTAAGAAGAAAAAAAAAAAACCAGAAACCTAGGCTTGGGGCAGGGGTTGTGGAAGTGGCAAAATGAGATGGATTTTGAAAGGGGAGGGTACCTGAGAGGGTCTCACCTCCCTTGGTCCAAGCCCCAATTTGGGGTTAAAGTGGGGAAACTGAGTCAATTTCACTTAGAAAGCAGGCTGACAGCAAGCAGCCCTGGTGTCCAAAAAGATTAGTAAAATTTTACCCTCCAGTGATAACATTGAAAAATGGTGGGGAAGGGGAGGGGAGGCTGAGTCTCTTTGATGGTAATACAAGGCTTCCAGGTGTGGCCCTGGGCAGGGCCTAGCTCCCCAGCGAGAGCTCCGCAGGCACACCACCTAAGCTGACCTCCCTCCCTCCTGGCATTCCTAGGCTAGACCAAGGAAACCTGAGAGTGGCCTCAGGACAGTTCCAGGGGGAGGCTATGGCTATTTGGCACCTGGGGAAGGGGAGGCACAAGGAGAAGTTGAGGGCTGTTGCCCTTCCTAGGAAAGGGACTGGATTTTGGACTCATCCTTTTCCCTACTCCAGCTCTCCCCTCCCGCCAAGGATAGGAGAAATCAGTGCAGGCCCAGGCCCAGCCTCTGGCTCAAGGGTGGGCTCTATCCCTCCTGGGATGGGGAGCAGGGGTAGGAGATGTTGAGGCCAGAATGCAACAGACAGCACAATGATAGGGAAGAGGAAAGGGCCAAGAAAGTCGAATCTCAAGTCAAGAGGCCCAGGGGCCACATGGACCCTGTGGGCAGGGAGCAGCCTCCAAGTGGTGAGATGCTGGGAGAGCCCCAGCTCCACTCCGGTCCAGAGACACAGGCTGGAGGTTGTAAAGTCTGGCAGTTTGGTCTGCAGGCCCTTGTGTCCATCCACCACCCAGGTCAGCTCTCAGCTTCTCTCGGCCTCTGTACCTCAGCCCTGTAGAACAAGGAGGCCACTCTTCCAGCCACCATTGTCTGCCCGGGCCACCCTAAAGGGGCCTGTGATATGGGCCCTCTGGTCCCTGAAGCTGGGGGAGGTGGGGTGGAGGAGTTGGGGAAGTCGGGGCACCTGTCCCCAGGCTGGTAGGGGCTGGGTGGGGATTGAGGACAGGGGGTGTGGATAATGGGAGTGGATTATTATTGTCCAGTCAAGGAGCGATTCCTGTTAAGTAGAATTAGAATTCCTCAGGGTTTGCAGGTTTCCTTCCAGTTCTGAGATCTAAAAAACAAAGAGAGGGGATATCAGGCTTGGCCACTGAGCATGTGTCCTGCCCCTAACCCCCAGCTCTGACCCCAGCAACACAATCCTTCCCAAATATCAACAGAGTGGTCTCCTTTGGTTCTGGCATCTATGCTGCTCCCTCTGGAGGCTGACCAGGGCACCCAGGCTCTACCTTGTCTAGAAGCTTGTCCATTTCCTCCTTCCTAGCTAGCTCCGACTCTTCCAGTACCCGCCGCTGGGCAGTCTCTTTTTTCAGGAACTCGATCTCTCTGGAGACAGGCAGGGAGGG